ATGTTTAAATGAAGTTTTGTAGTGCATAAATTTGTATGAAGACAGTAACAGTATTCTGTACCTATGAGGAAATCAAGCTAAATATAATTATCAGTATCATGTCTAGAATAAACAGTCAAGAAATTCAAGCAAGTATATTATAGGTACCTCTGGGGTTCCAGAGACATTTCTGGATTCTGGTTTCTTCTCTGATCATTACTTTAGTCTGAGGTAATGAAAAATACTAGATTTTTCATAGGGAAAGAAAAAGAGTAAAGCAATATTATTTTATCTTTCTTCAGTTTCCCTTTCCCCCTCCTCCCTGTCCCCCAGATCCTCTCATCCTCAGTTTCCCTTAAAAAACAAACAAACAAAAAGAGCAGACCTCCCAGGGATATTCATCTAAGGAGGCTTAACATGTTCCAATAAGACTAGTCACAAACTCATATCAGGGTGGGAAGAGGAGTCAAAACAAGCAAACAACAAAAGCAAAAAGAAGCTAAATAACCATAACATGTATGCAGAGGGCCTGGCTCAGACCCATACCTAGTCCTTGTTTGTCACGTCAGTCTCTATAAGCCCTTAGAAATCCTGCTTAGTTGATTCTGTGGGGCTTATTCTCCTGGTGTCCTTTACTCCCTGGTTCCTACAATCCCTCCTACCCATCTTCTGCAGGGTTCCCTTGGTTCTGGTTCTACCTAGTGTTTTCCTGTGGATCTCAGCATCTACTCCCATCAGTTGCTGGATGTCCCTCTGATGACAACTGGGCTAGGCACTGATCTATGAGTATGACAACATATCTTTAAGAATTATTTCATTGTTTCTCTCGCCCCTACCTCCACATCTCTCTTTTTCTCTCTCCCCCTCCCTTCACTCCCTCTCCCTCTCTCCCAGTCCTGTTTGGTTTTATCCTGTGTCTCTCTGTGATGTCCTGACATCCAGACAGTGTCAGGTGTGGGTTCCCTCTTAAAAAAAGAACACTCTTATAAAACCTGAATCTGTGTTTATCATTATTATTGTGTGAATTTTGAGCAGGGACATATTGCTCAGGCCTTCTAGAGACAATATATATAAGGGCGGTGTCAGATGTGGGAAAGGGTTGGAGAACATAGAAATGGAACCAGAAACCAATGATCAATGACACTGGTCTGAAGGTATGAATTTTAGTACTACATTAAAATCTTGTGACTACCACCATTTCTTACATGATCTTAGAGACAGGGCCAGACTGTTATAAAATATTCAATAGTAAAATGGGTGATGTATTTAGCTCATACCTTTAGGTAAGTTCTTCTTCTCTGCCTTCCTAACCATTGGAAATGGATTCCTCCGAAGCATGCAAAAGATAAAACACAAAGTTTTTCTTTTAGGTGATTTAAATCTCTGCCTTGTGTTTCAAGTATTTTAGATAAACAGGACATATTCTGGGGAAGAAAGACAGGTAGCCGTCAATACATGACTCCTTTTGAACTTGGCCTATCTGACAATTAATCCTCTTTCTGCTTTACATGATTTTAGATTGCACAGATAGGTAAGTCCAATTATTGTCCTTTAGCTGAGGGATTTTCTCAGAAACACCAGTCCTGTGTGATACATAACAGGAAGCAGAGCTTGTTTACCAGTTGTGACCTTTATCATACATGGTAGCAAATGCAATTTAGACCCACACACTCAGGGAGAAGGTCAGGCTGAAGATAAAGAGTGTGGTCTTCAGAGAACAGCCTTTAAGGGATAGTTAATTAAATTGACTGCTTTATCTTACAAACCGTGGAGTCCATCTTTTATCCTAAAGTCTTATAGGATTCTAGCCACAGTGTAAATGTGGGTAGTTATGCTTTTAACAGCATTCTATCACCTCACATGAAAATGATACTTTCAGATGCATTAGGAAATAAATTTGATAAATAAAACAATAAACATTAGGTTATTAAAATGTAGATTGTTAACACTATCTTTACTTTTACTTAAACAACACTTTTTTTTTTGTTTTGTTTTATGAGCCAGAGTTTCTCTGTGGCTTTGGAGGCTGTCCTGGAACTAGCTTTTGTAGACCAAGCTGGTCTCGGAGATCTGCCTGCCTCTACCTCCCGAGTGCTGGGATTAAAGGCGTGGGCCACGAACGCCCGGCTCTTAAACAACACTTTTAATAATCCACTTTCTCAGACTGGTGACTACCACAACTATCATCATAGAGTCTCCATCTAGTAATTGATGGAACCAGACGGAGAGATCCACATCTAAGCACCAGGCTGAGCTCCAGGAATCCAGTTGAAGAGAGGGAGGAGGGAATATGTGAACAAGGGAGGGCAAGATCACGATGGAGAAATCTGCAGAGACAGCTGAACCAAGCTTGTGAACTCAAGACCGTCAGCTGTGGAGACTCCATGGGACTGAACTAGGCCCTCTGTATGTGAGATAGAGTTGTGAAGCTTTGGATATCTGAGGGGCCCCTGGCAGTAGGACCAGAATCTACCTCGGTACATGAGCTACTTGTGGGAGCCCCTTCCCTACGGTGGGATGCCAAGCTCAACCTTAATGTGGGGGGAGGCTTGGTCCTGCCCCAACTTGATGTGCCAGACTTTGTTGACTCCGCATGGGAGCCTTTACCCATTGGGAGGAGTGGATGGGGTGGGCTGTGAGGAGGGGGTGGGGCAGAGCTGTGGTTAGAATGAAAATAAATAAATTCAAAAATAACCGTCTCTGTTCTCTTCTGTACTAGTTTATCCAAATAGGGGGGATTTATCTTTCAATTCAGTAAATATAACAGTTTGTGTCTCATAATTGTCATTTTGTCTCCTGTGCTATGAATATCGAATTTGTAATTCTACAAAGCTAGAGAAATAAAATCAGTCATTACATAGCTATTGTCTTGTAATAGAATACAGTTTAAGGAAGATATAGTACAATATAGAATTAATATTCTTCTATAAATTATTGCCTATAGGACACGCACATACACACACACACACACACACACACACAAACACATACATGCACTTAAACACACACACACACACACACACACACACAAACACATACATGCACTTAAACACACACACACACACACACACACACACAAACACACTTGTTTGTTAAGAATTCCTTTGCTTTAATTTAGATAAAAAAGAATTAACCCCCAAAGCCTTATACTTAGCTGCCTCACCTATGTCAATTTTTTTTTTCTTTTTTTGGCTATTTGAGACGGGTTTTCTGTGGCTTTGGAGACTGTCCTGGAACTAGCTCTTGTAGACCATGCTGGTCTCAGAAATCCACCTGCCTCTGCCTCCCAAGTGCTGGGACTAAAGGCATATGCTGCCACCACCACCTGGCCTATATCAGTTTTTTAATGAAAACATTTCCACATGGTTTTGTGTCTTCTTTGCCATGTTTGTATGCTTGTGTGGTGTAAGTTCAGCTTCAGTTAGTCTTAAAGTACTCCAATTAGTAGAAGTGAATTCTGTCTGTTTCTCAGGCTGAAGACATGTTTGCTTTTTGTTGACCTGTATTAATGCTTCAAAACTTCATCTACTTAGTTCAGTCATGTTCAGCAAAATACAGAGTCTAGATGAGATCATCCTCATTCCCAAATGGCAATCTCCTTAACCTTGCCTCCAGTGTCAGATACCTCTTTCTGTGTTTTCAGTCTGGGTGTGACCTGTTCGTAACTATTGGCATATCCTGCCTGTCACTACTTTCATTTATCCATCATCTTCCCCACATGCTGAGAAGACAAGGAGTCTAATATTTTTCCTTAACTATCACCTCCTTACCCTATCCTGATGGCCACAATCTATTTACAGAAGAGTTTTGTGAGCATGTATTTTAGTTATTTAATAAGAACAAAAACTACAAACGCATAGCTTTGCTTTCATTTGCTTCAAATTTCTGCCTCCTATGTGATATGATTTACATATCTGTGATAGTTAAATTAAAATGATTATAATAAACAATACTACATATGGCTATTAGAATTTTTGATGCACAGCCCTGCTACATTTCCTAGTCTGGTCTTGAACTCTTGACCTCAAGGATTCCTATAGACAAGGTCTTGAAAGCCAAGGCTTAGGGATTCATGGAGTGCATCCTCCTGAGTACTGGGCCTATAATAGTTTGCCACCACATTCAGCCATAATCTTTGAAGGTAGAAATTGATAAATTGACATAAGGTTTCATGTGAAAAGTAACTTTTTGTTGGAATCTGATAACACAAAAGAGCATACTCTTAAATTTGTGCTTTTATTGAATGCCACATGAAGATTAACGAGAGGACACTGGGATGGTTAGATCCGTGATAGAGATGTGTTCACAATCTTTCTCCTCCCCTGAATTTTTTGAACTCTACAAAAATTGTTTGAAATCAGTGGATCTGGTGACACTAGGTCTTAGAAGAATTTCAGCTACCTCAATTTTTCCTCTTCTGCCACACTGACTCACCTGAATGACACATCTAAAAACTGTTGTGTATGGGGTCACTCTTTGGGGGATTATTAGGTGTCAGCATTATTCCAAGCTCTTTGTATGGATGAGTGGGCTCACTACATCACCTCATAACACTAGCTTCTTAGAGGATTTAGTTGTCACAGATGTAGAATAAAATCCCAGGAAAAATGAAGGATAATATTCTAGTGAAGGGAAAATCATTTTTGTGTGGTGTTTCTGCTACCTGGCATTCACATGCCCACACAGAAAGCTGACATAATGCCATGTATCTCAGGATCTCCAGGAGGGTTGACTTCAATACACAGGCACAGACAGACTGGCATGTAAACATCCTACAAGAAGACTTAATCCTAAGCAGTGAGAACCATCTAATATTTAGCTTTATATTTGCCACTTTAAACATATTTTCCAACGTCTTATTCTTTGACAGTTTCATATACATGCATAATAAATTTTAATTGCTTTTCAACCCATTCCCTGTCTCATTGACTGCTGCTCGTGCCATTTTGCATTGTCTCTACTTGCTACTTTTTTTTCTTCATTTGTGTGTGAATACTTAGTTTAAATAGCATTTCTACCAGCATAGGATGGACATGCTCTCTAAGACTGAGGAACATGGAGGAAGAGGAAAGGAGAGACGAGACGCAGCAGGATGATTTCTTCTGGAAATGACACATGGTTGCCTTAGGAGCTCGCTTTCAGCTGTGGTAATCTGCACAAAGCCACACAGCACTGAGTCCACTAAGACTTCATCATGGCTGGAGGTGTAAATGGGCAGGAAAAAGGACACCCGTCCATGTTGAGTGTGTAGACTGAAAACTGAATTTGTGTTTAATTCAGAGAGGAACTTCCTCTTCCCCGGTCTTATTTCTTCCAATGCTTTATTTCTCCTGTGATCTAAATCAATAAAAGAGTTTTCTCTTGAAAAGATGGAGGTGTAGTTCGGTCTGTAGTGTTTATCTATCATTCATAAGCCCTTAGAATCAATTACCCGCACTTCCTGATTCCTTAAACCTGGATTGCTGGAATACTCAGCACCCATGGATTCAGGTTGGAGGAAATGACTAGGAAATAGAATTCATTCTCCTCTCCATATCATTTTAATATGACATAAGAGTTAGTGGTAGTCTAACAACAGACTTTTTTACCCAGGAATCCCGCTTCTGTTTGTTACTTACTGACCTTGACTAAATAATATAATAACTATGAGTCTGCTTCCATACTTGTAAAAAGTGGCTGACTCCACCCAAATGAAAGGACTTTCTATGATACTTATGATGTGCTTTGCATTGTGTCTGATGCATAAAACATTGGTGCGTTCTTATACCATTATTGTCTATGAAATTACTCTGGCAAACAGAGACAAATCTTTTGACTGAAAATACGTTAAACTTATTTATAAAAGGAAGACTTCCATTTTCCTGTGTTTCTCCCAATTTATGCCTCAGGATTTTATTAGCTATTTTGCTAATTAAATAAGACATAAAAATATTTTCATGTCCTAAGAGTAAGAATGAGCTTGAGTAGAGCTAATAAGTCTGTCCAGGGCTGACATTTTAAAAGATCAGTTTTCATTTGCAATCATATTCCGTTACTATTCTGTAACTACTTATTCTCATGATTTCAAACTTATATGAATAACCAATCAGAAAGCCTTTAAAAGCAAAAGCAACAACAACAAAACCCAAGCTGTTATTATCCTAAAAACAATGCTGCCATAAAGATATGCTATGTTATTATTATTCTAATACATAGATTTTTTTTTTTTTTGCCTTCAGGAGGTAATAGCAGTCCCAACTACTGATAACTGTGTAGAGGCTTCCTGGCTTGAGAATTAAGGAAGTAGAAGATGAAGCAATTTTCTATGGTTGATTTGCATTATCGGTACTCTGATCTTTTAGAAGGTTGCAGAAGTGAGCAGAGAGAGTGCTACCCTGACTTGACAAATAAGGCTAATGAACCATGATGATGCATAATACAAACCAAACCATTTCAGCCAAGTGGTATTTGCAGCGCTGTTCTGTAAGCAATGAGTATACATTCCAGAAGTCAGCCGGCTTTAGGTTTCCAATTAATTGGAAATGGTAAGTGGATTTTAGGTGCTTACTTTCCTGTTGAGGCCTAGAGGGAAGTTAGTCAGCAACAGATTTCCAGAGAAAGAGGAGTTTTCTGTACACAGGAAATTTTCACACATGAATAAACACCACATATGACTTCAATGATTTATCCAGGGTCTAAAGAATTCATTTACATAATCTCATTTTTAATCTATTTTTCATGAGAGCTGTAGGATTCTATTATATGAATGAAGGATTTTTTTAAAAAGAATACTGCACCAGAATTATTCAAATAATTGAAAGTTATCTAGAGAAGGAAAGCAAAGCTGTTCTAAGAAGGATTTCTCATTCCACTTGATTAGAATTATTCCTAAGATTTCATTTTCCTGGGAGTTTTTATTGCCCCAATCATAGGGGGCTTTTTGTTGTTGTTTTAGTGAAAAATTTTCTTGAAGAAAGAGCAAATAGATTAGAGGATGGCCTCTCCAGCCCAGCATGAACACCTGAAACTATGGATTAGCCCAAGAACATATATTTCAGTATGTTACCAAAAAAAAAAAAATGAAAGAAAAGAAAAAGCCAGCCATAACAACTCTATTCCATGAGAAACTCCATGCTTTTTTCCTAGTTAAATTCAATATATAAAAATAACCACACTAAACTAGGAGTAACCAGAACTTATTTTATTAGACACTTTCTCTACTGTTTTGCTCTTATCCTTCTCTGTCATCACCTGTAAAGGACTTTCCACAGCCACAGATGAGTGCAGTATTGTCCTCCCTTGGGGAGCACATGAGATTTATGCACCCAAGTACTTGTGAATATTGTCCTCATACATGAAGTTAAGACTTCCCTATCATTATCCACCAGCAAATACTCTGCTCTATCTGCTATTGCATTTCAGAAGAAAAAAATGTTAATAAAGATTAGAACGTTGACTCCCTGTCCCTCGTGACAGTTGTGTAGCTTGGTCTGTTGTGGGGCTCCTAGCAGTGAAATCAGGACCTGTCCATGGCACTTGAACTGGCTTTTGGGAACCCATACCAGATACTGGGTTGCCTTACCCAACCTTGATGCAGGGGAGGAGGTTGGTCCTTCCTCAACTTGCTGTGCCTTGCTTTGTTGACTCCCATGGGAAGCCTGTTCCCTTCTCAGTGGAGATAGAGGAGTGGATGAGGGGGTTAGAATGGAGGTGGGGTAGGGAATGGGAGAGAAGAGGAAGGTGAAACTGTGGTCTGTATGTAAAATGAATGGAAAAAATTAAAAAGAATAGAACCTAATAAATTATAATGCATCTGTCCTGAAGTAAACTGAAGTTTCCAGCCTTCTCTACTGGTCAACACAGAAGATTTCTATACTATGGGAGAAATTATTTCTAACACATCTCATCTGCTCTTGAAAATGAGGATAAAATTCAACAGTGCTAACTATAAGTTTATTTTATGTTATTAAATCTTTTATTTACATGAGCTATGTTCACTACAAAACCTACAGATTATCAGAATAGATGATTGAGTAAGATTTCAGTGCATACAATCTTTAAGTGTTCTTTATGAAAGACTATTATATTTATGAAAGAGTAATACATAGTAAAATATATTTTATTTATTTTTATCTTTTGCATATATTATTGTTTTGAGTTACAGCATCATGAAATCTCCAGACTGGCCTGGGATTCAGAATTCTCATGCCTTCCACCCTTCAGGATGGGGATTACAGGTATGCACCATTACATTTGGTTATTTCTTATCTTGAAAATCTTGAATTCATTAAACAATAATTAGCAGATAGTCCTAAGGTGTTACCTTTAAATTCCAGATATATGTATGGATTGAAATATAATCTTCATTTTGTTTTGGAGTCCAAAAAGATACTCAGTAATGACAACTGAAATTTGGAAGGCAACCCACAAGAGATTTACGTTAAATTCACACAGGCACATCCCATGAAAAATACTGCCCTTTGAATAGCTGGCTGTCTCTAACTGCAAATTCTCTTGTGTGACAACATTCTCACTTCTAACTCAGCTTTGGGAGTCTCCAGCAGTGTATTCCTCATTGGTCCGACACAATCTTCCTGTGTTCTGATAGCAGGATGACTTCTTCCTATACTGTATTTTCTGACATATAAAGCAACCTCTCATAGTCCAGTCTTTGTCCCATTTTACAGTGAGAAACTTTGAAGCCTGTTCTCTGTTGACAGGGCAAAGTGTCCTTGTGGAGAGATCACAGGAGGAACGTCCACAGAGCAGGATTTCAGGTGTCTGGCCTTAGTAGATCTAAGTCCTTCAAAGATTTATGACAAGTAGGAGGTATTGCAGGTATCTGCCCTCACATCATAGTCCTTCAAGAGGTCAATAGCACTTATGTTGCTCCAATCTTTCTTCACTGGCATCTCCTACTCTGACTCAAAATAGCAGTTAACACTCTGTACCAGTTTTTGATGCAAAGATTCATTCAGTAGACTGTTTTTGCTTAGATCCTGAGATTAAGGTTCTAAGAAAGGCTGTTAACTGACAAAGTCTGTCTACTAATCACACTGAAGAAATGGAAAATACTGCATGTATTCTTTGTGCTTCCTTAAATCTCTCATTGTTTTAGTCTCTTCTCTTTGTAACCTGTAGCTGCCTCTCTACAGACAGCTGGTATCTCCTCTCAGTTGCAGCTGTGATTCTCTTTCCCTCCTGTTCTTGTTCCCCCTTCCCTCTGCCTTACCAGAGAACCTTTTATATTATTCAGTGGGTGAAGAGTTGAGATGTAGGTTTTGCTAGCCTAGCATCTGCCTCGTTTGCCAAAAATCATTCTATTTGATTGCTATCCAAAATGGAATCCTTCTGTCATCAAACTTTGCCCACATTTTCACTCTGGCTTTTATTCCTATTAGTGTGACCTCTCCTTTATCAGCTCTCTTGCCACAAACATTAATCTATGACTTCAGATATCTACATATGGTGAGTAACAAAGGGCCACAAAATTTTTGTTTATCAAGGGAAGTTTTCTTCACCAATTTCCTGAGGACTAGTTGCTGGAGTCAGTATTTATACTTTTAGACAGATACGATGAATTTTCCATACTTCTTAGTGTGTGTGTAGGAATGCATATGACCTTTTCTCTTAGATATAGTTTCTATTTCCATGGAAAAAATAAACAAGCAAAGTCCTGCTTACTTTAATGCAATCATAATGTATTTTTGGTTGTGCATCTAGCTTTTAACAACTAAGTCATTTCTCCATGCCTAATGTAATCATAATGTAAAGATTATGTCAGCAGATTAATGATGATGGTCTGTATCCATCTTGATTTCTTATTCTCTGTCATAATTTTCTTTTGAATGTTTAATAAGCAGATATTTTACATATCAAATGTATGACTATTTCTTTAAAGCATCCTTCTTCTAATCTATAAGTCATATGTAGGCACACATACATTAATGTATACATCTGTGCATATAACCTAGAAACCTAATACTCAACAATTTTGAAATTTTAATAATGTATATTGCTTAAAACAATTTATCTTCTAGCTTCTCTTTGACAAATAAATATATTAGCCCTTAAATCAGCTACAAATATATTCTCTCACAGTTTTCGGTTTCTTTCTTTACTTCTTGCTCAATCAATTTTAAATCCCCAATGAATCCACCTATAATTTATTTATCAAACCTACAATGTGTTTCTGCTACCAATACTTTCCCGAAAACCATTGTCACTACACATGTCAGTGAAAGTTTCACAAGCTGAATTTTGACTCAACTGCCCTCTGGTTTGTTTTCTCTCATTTATTTTAAACTTCAGCTTCAAGATTAAAACCTTTCAATGATTTTTCAAATTATTATAGGAAAATAGTAGGTTCATAATCTTGGACATTAATCTTC